CTGATGCTAGCGTCTATCATCTAGGCCATGTTATTTGGGCTTGCGATGGCACCGCCGCTCAGAGGTAACTCGTCGTCTTAGTGTGTCTGATGAATGTTGATCCTCGCACTGTCATTCAAGTGTGTTTGCTGAGTACTGGTCCTGGCGTGGTCGCTTCTTGTCCCCTCCCCCCCCCAAGCCTTCGTCACACTGCCCCCGCCAGTCTGTTCGCCTCCTTTGTCCAGTACCTTTTTTGCAGGTCTCATTGTCACCGCTGTCGCTGACGCCAATACATGATGGGGGGGCCCAAGGCTGTCACCGACTTCACCAGCTTATTATCTCAGACGATGTCATCGTCACCCGTCTCCGTGGGCGTTTCATGTCCGACACTATCTACAGTATACACCAGCATCGGATTCTCCGCCCTCGTCACTATCAACCCCTACAAGTATATTGCTTCCAATGCAGACTCTGTTATGCAAAAGTATGCCGCATACTATTGGGGCACAGTGGAAAACAGGACCCCCATTCCTCCCCACATTTCCAACTCATCAACAACACCTACTACCACATGCGGCGCACAGCCCAGGACCAATCATTTATCATCAGGTGCGTTATTGTTTTTTTTTAATACTTAAAGTACAATTTCGTCTTATTCTTTCATAGTGGTGAAACGGGCAGTGGAAAGTCGGAAAGCCGCCGCCTCGCCATTGAGACGCTGTTAGAGCTGTCCGTTTCCAATCCAGCAAAGAAGGGCTCCACGCCAGCACTGGCACTCGTCCTAACGGTGTCCATGACGACGACGCCAATCACTTCGAACAACTGAAGTTGACTTTCAAGTCCATTGGCCTGTCCAAGCGACATCTTGCCCAAACATGCTAGCTCGTCCCGGCCATCCTCCATCTAGGCAACATCATTCATCATCAACCGCGATCGTGATGTCGACGCAGCAGTTATTCGGAACGTGGACGTTCTCGTTGCCGAGTTTCTTGGCGTACAGCCACTCGCACTTGAAAGCACACTTGCGTACAAAATGAAGCTCGTCAAGAAGGAGCTCTGCACTGTTTTCCTCGATCCCGATGGTGCTTCTGACAACCGTGACGACCTTGCAATGACACTTTACTCTTTCCTTTTCGCCTGGTTGAATGAACACATCAACCAACGCCTCTGCCTTGACGACTTCGACACGTTCATCGGTCTCTTTTACCTTCCCGGACCCCAAAACATGACAAGCCGCCCCAACTCCCTCGATCAGTTCTGTATCAACTACGCCAACGAACGTCTGCAGAACTTTATTCAGAAACGCATGTTCGAGTCTCACGTCGACGAGTATCAAACAGAGGGCATCTCCCATTTCGTCCCTTCCGTCCCCTACTTTGACAACGCCGAGTGTATTCGCCTCCTCCAAAACAAGCCAGGCGGCCTCATCCACATCATGGATGACCAGGCTCGCCGATCACACAAGAAGACGGACCACACGATGGTGGAAGCCTTTGGCAAACGCTGGGGCAACCATTCATCCTTCAAGGTCGGGGCGATAGATCGCTCGGGACACCCCACGTTCACTGTCAACCACTTCAACGGACCCGTGACTTATTCCTCTGAGGGCTTCCTCGAGCGCAATCTCGATTCCTTGAACCCCGACTTCGTCTCCCTTCTCCGCGGCTCTATGCTCGGCACGACAGACGGCGCGGAAGGTGCTGGATCGATAAACCCTTTCGTCAAGGGTCTTTTCTCCGGCAAAGCCATCGCTACGCAAGCACACCCCAAGAACGAAGACACGATTGTCTCGGCGCAACAGCCCGTCAAGCCGATGCGCACCCCGTCCACGCGTCGAAAGGGTACAGTCAAGCGGATGGCAACGCTCCGCGAGGATGGGGCTGTCGAAGAACAAGACCGGGAGGAGGATGACGCACCAAATGCTTCCTCTGGACTAACACCATGCATCGCTGGCGAGTTCAGAGCCGCTCTGGACACCTTATTCGACACGTTGTCGGAAACACAGTCCTGGTTCGTCTTCTGCGTGAATCCCAACGACTCGCAACTACCCAACCAATTGGAGGGACGGAGTGTAAAGGGCCAGATTCGGAGCCTGGGTTTGACCGAGGTATCGAAGAGGAACGTCAACGTCTTCGAGGTAGGGTTAACCCCAGAGGAGTTTTGCGCTCGATACAAGGACCCGATGGCAAAGTTGGGCATTGTGGATGGCTCGGCGAAGGAGAAGGTCGAGCAGACGAGAAACGTTTTAGGCTTGCAGGAGATCGATATGGTTCTCGGGCAGTACAAGGTAATTTTCGGGCGCCTATGTGTCACGGAGTACTAAGATTCTCATCGTTTTACTCTACCTAGGTCTTCTTATCTCAAGCTGCATTCCATTCCCTCGAGGACCGGATTCGTGCCCTTGATGTGGAGGAACAGAAACGAAACCGCCTCCGCGATGCAGAGGCAGAAGCTGGCATCGATGTTCGCTCAATAGGCGACCCATACGCACCCTACGCATCCCCAGGTCTCCCCCCAGACGACTACGCGGATCCGTTCAGCCAAG